CTGAATAAGTAACATACAAACTTAATATATACTGTTTTATTGATCTGTATATCAAGGTACAAAGATCATTAGAGGAAAACAAAAACAAGACAAATCAGTTTTTCAGACACTGAAAGATATTCAATTAGAGTCTTTAACCGGGTCAAACAACTAAACCGGACTCTCTAACCAGAATGAGATTGAAAAGAATTGGAACTAACATTTGAGCCACGACCAGTGCTAAGCTTAAGAGCCTCCAAAGCCTTTTGAATCTCCATGTTCATTGCACTGTCAACGCTTCCCGAAGACAGTTTCTTGTGAGATTTCTGGAGATGGAGCTTAAGAGAACTACTGCTTAGACCCGCGTTCTTACCACAAACCGGACAGACTTTCATTGTCGGTTTCCTCTGTCTCCACTCCATTGACACCTTCCCGTGACATTTCTTGTCGAGGTTAAGTAAGATCCGGGCAAACCCGTCATTTGGTTGAGCTCGTCTATGAACTTTTCTCAGTTTGCCCCATGCTTCTAAAAGTGTGAGGTTCCTGTTTTAATCCCAACAGTAAACAAATGAGAGGAAGGATTAGATGTTGATTATCCGATCTTAGCTTTAATTTTCCCAACAACTTACTTTCGGAGCATTAGGTACGCGAGTACTACAGTTGCACTTCTACTCCGACCTTCGAAGCAATGAACTAAAATCTTGCCACCCGTTTCTTCGCCGTGGTTGATGAAATCGAGAGCTTCTTGAAAGATGCTCTCGATCTTTGAGTCTTCCTCGTCGGTTATCTGGTCAAAGGGAAGACACAAGAAGAGAACTCTCATCTTTATACGTAGATGCATTCACCAATTCCTTATACCAAAGCCTTTGGTTGTTATAGACCAAAGGTTAGGTTAATATATTGAAAAGAAAATAAGAAACGTTCACTTACTGAGAAATTTTTGTACTCGAAGAGCTCAGGGTATTGAGTATCCGACTGCCCGATTTCATTTGCACACAAACATAGAATATGAGTTATACCTAAATGCTGAAGAGTGTAAACGGACCTTGCAGCCAATCCTCCTCCGATAAAAAGATTATCTTGTATCATCGATGGTTTCTCTGTATTCGCCGCTTTGCAGATCAATGATATCCTCTCAAGAATATGCTCAAGTCTAACCTGTTATAATGAAAATGCAAGCAAGAGAGAATGTTTGGATTCAGTAGCCCAAAAATTATTATGACGAAAAAAAGGAAATTTTTAAAACTCATAATACCTTTAGCTCGTAAGCATCGGTACAACTGTTATTATCACTGCCCTCAAAGAAACCAGTGTTGAAACCGTTCTCTTGGCAGAGTTTCAGAACTTCATTCCGCAGAGTTTCATTCCACTGGTCTAGTTCTTTATTAGACTCTGCATCAATCTGGACACACCATGAAAAGAATAAGACTGAAGATATAATGGCTGAAAAAATTCAAGAATATAAGCTTTTTGATACAAATGCTGAACTTAATTAACTGATTAGAACATAGTGATCAAAGCTCGAAGGGACAAACCTTTGCAAATTTATGGAAGTCGCGAAGCTTTGCTGCTAAACGTTGACTGCTAAGAGATTCTCCACCTCTACCGGATCTTCCGTGCCAACTATCTCGTGACTTAGGCGAAGAAGCATCTGTGCCTTCTTTGTTTTCTGAATTTGGTGTCCTGGGAACTGATTTTGGCATAAACTCTGACTCGCTGTGATCAGAGCTGTTATCACTATGCACCCGATCTTTTGAGGGAGATGGATAGTGATTCATCTCATGCCCAGGAGTTTGTGAAGGCGACTCAGGAACAGCAAAATCTTCTCTGTCAAAATCTGCACACATTGTTTTGTCCATCATATTGAAAAACGCCCGTAGCAACCCATCTAACTTCTGATGAAGGGTGACAAGGAAAATGTGAAACTCTTGTAAATCCCTGAGACCAGCGCGAAATCCATTGCGGAACTCACGTACAACTGGCGTTACTACAGTCGACCGAACATTAGATGCTTCTTCGCCATCTTCTGCCAGGGGATATCCTAAACTTCCTTCTGTTATTTCATGTAACAAATTCGAGGAATATTGGCTACTATTGAGAAGTAGCTCAACTAATCTAGGATAAATTTCTTGGTCGCTCGCCCGTTTTCCAGCAGGGGGACGCCGTGGAACACCCGAGTCTATGGTTACGATGTGAAAATCAGGAGCTACTGATCTATCAGACATTGGACTCATATAACCAGTGTCATATGATCTAGGCGATTCCGTTATATCAGAAAACTCAGACGACTGTGAGACTAACCTTTGATCACTAACACTCAATCTAGATCTGCTATCTACCGAAGAAGCTCTTCTTTCCCGCTGAATGGATCTGTAGTCCCTTGGATGGCATCGTTTGATGGCGGAATCAAAAGCTTCTTCAAAAGAGCATTCTAGATGTTTTGTTGATGACACAATTCTGTCGGTTAATAACAGATTTGCCGGGTTGCCACGCCATCTCAGCTGACGACAGGGTAATCTGTCTTCGTTCCTAATTACAAGATCTAACACAAAGATTCTCCCTAACGCTGCAGCAACTCTCTCTGCCTTTTCTTCAGTATCGAAACTACTCATGCTCTCTAGCAATGGACATCCATGGACATAACTGTCATCACATATTGAAAATGCAGTGCTTAGAAGAGAGGTTTTATATAAACATCACATATTAACAATTGTAAATTTCTAAGTGTGGGATAAGGTCAATACCTATATTATCCATTTAGGCAAAGACAAATGTTTGTTCAACTATTTCTCCCCTCTTGATTATTATTATCCATACTAAGATTAAATTTCTGTCAACATTTTTTTTTATAGGCCAGACTAGATATCCGTTCAACTGTATTATCTTTAACTTCTGTTGTCCAATGAAATGAATCCAACTCATAATTGTAATTTACAGATTTGTCATTTTATCTTATTATCTAACATAGAACGTTGATTTTTTCCCTAAAAATACTATACTAATGGTATATTCAAAATTTCTTAATTTTGAAATAGCGACATGGTCGGGTTTACTATCTAGCCAAACACGAAAGAAAACGATGAAAAATCTGTTAATTGGTTGTTTGCTGGTCCAAATGGATAACGTTATAAAGAATAAAGATAAATCTTGTGCGTTCACCTCATTAGGAGAAGACAACGACTGAGCTCAAGGGCTTCCAGAAGTTCTGAACAAGTCACTTCACCAACCTCGTCTCCCTCTGAAGCCGCTTTAGCTTGTGCCTTTTCAGTTGCTTCTTTGATCAGTGTCCACTCAGGATTACAGCTATGAATGACTCTAGCCTGTCGCATGGTGATTACTCATTGGTGAAAAGTCGTAACGAAAGAAAGTGAACTGCGCGAACAAATACTGTAAATTTTTGAGGTACAGCAAAGAAAAGAAGCACCTGCGGAATCTGCACCCCTAGCCACCTGGCAAACTCATAACCTAGACGTTCTGATTGCGTGGCCATCCTAGATGATGAAAATTTTATAACTGCTGCTGCTTCTTCCTTTCGAGAAGCATCTTCAGAGCTGGAATGATTGAACAGGGCAAAGAAAACAACTCCGCCAGAATTCACAGTAACCTGCGAATTACACAAGAAAATAGAAGCAGAGCATACATAAGAAACTCATCTACATATAATGCAAAGAGCTCCAAATAAACAATGTCGAAATATCTTTCTTTGATTTAGGTAGCAGACGAAGAGTATTTGGCTATTGGAAGCTTTTTCCAATCTACCAATCCAAAATTTGTAATGATAAATACCTCAAGCGGTTTACTCTGGTCCTCTTCAGAATGATCAGTACTACTACTATGTTCAGTATGGTGAAGCGAAGACAGCATGTTCCACGAAAAAGAGCTCGATTCGATATCCACAATAGAAGCTTTACCAAGCCTTTCCCACAAACTAATCTCTGAAGTTTGCCTGCTCGGTGGACTTTTCGGATCAGCATTCCTCTCTCCTGCACTGGATAATACTACTGTCAATAATAATCTTCATTAAAAAGCAACCACCAAGCTTTACCTAACACAAGGTTAGGTCGACTATCATTTCCTACTGCAAAAACCAAAAGTGAACAACAAAAATTTCTTCTCATGGGACTAACTAATGTCCTAATATGGAAAACTTGTCAGATACTCATAAGATTCCAAAAACCATAGTGAATTGTGATTACAATTTCTTGCAAGAAACCAATTAATTTTGTGTAGACAAGAACAAAAAATAGAAATGTGGGAAATCAGAATAAAAGCCTTAACCTAGTAACCAAATCATCGATCCGGTGAAGACGGTGAGGGAATCCAGAGGATCCATAAGTAGCACTCCGTTTACGAACTAAATCCAACCATTGGGTAAACCGATAAGCTGGACCAGCTGCAATGTCTCCCAACATGTACAAAACCTACACAAATTCCAAAAATTCAAGCGAAGAAGCTAACCAACGCAAACGAGACCCTTTAACCTAAAAAGCCAAAGGATCGAAGCAATTTACACGGGAAGTGACGGTTAAAGGAAGAGGAGCCTCGTGCTCGTCGTGGACAAGGTCGAGATCTTTCTCGTCGTCTTTCTCCTGTAATAGCACCATAATAATCAGATCCCAAAATCGG